GGTACCGTGTGCGTGACGCGTGTTTTGCCACCATGAGACAGAAACACCGCTGGTTACCCGGACTGTTCCCCTGCTGACCTTGTCATCGGTTTCGTGAGGAGACACACACACACACACACACACACACACACGCGCGCGCGCGCGCGCGCGCCAAAAGACCAGGAAAGGCTGTGTCCGGGCCCCTCCCCCAGCGGCCTCCTCACAAGGGGCGGAAGCCGGTACCGGCTGGAAGAGGGGGTCCCATGCGGGCCTCCTGGGGACGCTGCCTCCCCGGCCCGGGGGCAGCGGTAGTCGGCAGCACCTGAGGCACCCCCCACCCCTCGTCTCCTTCCCCAGCCGCCATGGTGTGGACGGTGGGCATGGCCAAGCTGGACCCCTCCTCCCAAGGAGCCCTTCAGCTGCCCTACGACCCAGAGATGGGTGAGTGTCGCAGGCTGGCAGCCTCTCGTCGCCCGGGCCTGCTGCCCTGCACCCCGCCCGGCCCGGCCTGTTCCCACCCTGGGTGGGGGGCAGGAGGGGAAAGTCCCCTCCTGGACGGAGCAGGTGGGACTTACAGCCTGTGCCTCAGCCCGTTGGCCTCCTTCCCTTCCCTTGGGCGTGTGCCTGAAGGTTCCTCTCCGTTCAGGGCTGGGCTGGCCCGGCCAGTGGGGTGAGGGCAGGGGAGCCCCGGGCTCAGGCCGGTTCCCCACAGATCCCAGATCCCTCTGACCGGACTTTTGTCTCTCTCCCGCGCACCCGCCTCGCACAATGACGGTCACGTTCTCGGATCCCCAGAGGAAGACTCCTATGACAGTTTTGGGGAGCCCTCGTACCCCGAAGTCTTTGAGCCCCCGCTGCCTGGTTACCCCGGGGACGACTTGGAGGAAGAGGAGGAAAGTGAGTCATCTGTGCCCGGGTGGTCCGCGTGAGCTCAAGGTGCGGGCGGGGGGTGGAGACGGGCTCCCTGGAGGCAGGGGAGGGTGGTGGGGAGAAGCCCCCTTTTACATCAGAGACGGCAGCGGCAGTGACAGCTGGAGGAGGGAGCCCCCGTGGCCGGGAGGAGGGAGAGAGAGGAGACGAGGCAGCAGGTGCGTTCGTCAGACGGTTTTATCGTCCGCGGTGAACGCTCACCCTGTTAACAAGCGCACCGGCCGATGTGCGAGCTCGCGTTCACTGTCAGTGAGACGTCAGTTAATTAGCAGCCACGCTCCTCTGTTTTTAAGGGGAAGGCTTGCCTGACGAGCTCTGGACATCGTACGCGTCACCTTCGAGGACACCTTTTGTACAAAAACGTGTAACTTAAACTCAGCCCTAAATCCTATGGCCTCCCGCCGACCCCCCACGGCACCTTATTTTTGCTTTTTTTTTTTTTTTACTCAGCTCAGGGCCACTTCCCCGAATTGTCAGAAATGCCAGCCTTTTCACAGCCCAGACGGCAGGTCAGCCCGTCCGAGGGCCCGGTTTCCTGCCGGCTGCTGCTGTTCTGGGACAGCCAGGACTGGGGCCCCCCGGGGCCCCCGGATCCGGTGGAGGGGCTGGGCTGTGAGCTGACATCTGCTGTCTGGGGCTCCCGACACTGACCAGCTCTGTCTTCCCTGCATAGGGGGCGTGAAGCTCGGCCTGGGGGACTTCATCTTCTACAGCGTGCTGGTGGGCAAGGCAGCGGCCACGGGCAGCGGCGACTGGAACACGACGCTGGCGTGCTTTGTGGCCATCCTCATTGTGAGTGGCCCGGGGACTTCGTGGGGGGCCCTGGTCCCAGGGGGATTTTCAGGTGCCGAGTCCCTTGCAGGGGCGGAGTGATGACGCGGGGCCGGGCAGGGCTTACGGGAGGCTCCGAGCAGGGGAGGCCTGGCTGAGGGGCTCCCGCGTTACCGACCAGGCACGCGGTGGTGCCAGGGGCTTGGCCAGCCTCGTGCGGTCTCACGACGCCTGCGAGGTGGGGTGATGAGCTGAGGTTCTCGGAACCGGGAAGAAGTTGTGGGCCGTGCCCGTCGGCACAGAGCTGGGGAGGGACAGGCTGTGACTTGAGCTCTGGTCTCTGATGCCCTCCACGCCCCCCAGACACCATGGGGTGCTCTGAACTTCAGAAGCTTGCAGGTTCCTAGAGTCCCTTAACGTGGCTAGATACCCATACTGGGGGACAGGTCCTGAGAGATCGCAGCTCTGAGTGGCGGAGGCTCTGAGTGGCGCATACCTGAGCTCTGCCCCGGTGAAGGGGGGGTCACGGGGCACAGTGAGGTGGAGGGGTTCTGTCTGTCCACGGCGTGTGTTCGGGGGGGTGGGGGGGGTAGTGGACCCCCACGCTTCTCCACCTCGGGACTGTCTGACCTGAAGCCCCGCCTCTCCCTGGACCACAGCCCACGTGGGCAGGGGCAGGGCAGGATGGGCACCCACCTCCGAGGCCTCGGGTCACGTGGCTTCTTCGGTGCCCCTCTGGTGCCAGCTGCTGAGACCCTCGCTGGCGTTTCAGTGGAGCTCGTCCAGTTCTCTCTTTTTTTTTTTTAGAATTTTTTTTTAAAATTTATCTTGAGAGAGAAGGAGATTGGGGGAGGGGCGGAGAGAGAGAGGGAGAGAGAGAATCCCGAGCAGGCTGGCGCGCTGTCCGCACACAGCCCAGTGCAGGGCTCCGTCTCACCCACTGTGAAATCAGGACCTGAGCCGAAATCAAGAGTCAGGCACTTAACCCGACTGAGCCACCCAGGCGCCCCTCATCTGGTTCTTTATAAATAGACGTCCCCCAGGGGAGGCCTCTGTCACTGGTCACACGTGTCACCGCTGTAGCTGGAGTCCGATAGAGCAGGGCCGCTCTGGGAGTCGGGCTCACGCGGGGTGTGACATGGGGGTGAGCCCTCGAGAGGACCCGGGAAGAGGGGGGGGTCGGGCTGTCGTCTGGCGGGCCCCACACCAGTGCTGAGCCCTGGCCGGGGGCCCGACATCGCTAACCGCCCCCACCCCCGCCCCCCCACCCCCCCCCCTCCCCTCCCCTCCCCTCCCCTCCCCTCCCCTCCGTGTCCCACAGGGTCTGTGTCTGACCCTCCTGCTGCTGGCCGTGTTCAAGAAGGCGCTGCCCGCCCTCCCCATCTCCATCACCTTTGGCCTCATCTTTTACTTCTCCACGGACAACCTGGTGCGCCCTTTCATGGACACCTTGGCCTCGCATCAGCTCTACATCTGACGGCGGGCCGGGCGCCGTGGGCTGGCGGCCCTGGGCAGGTCGTGACGGGTGCCCCCGCGTAGTGTCCATATGTCTCTGAGACTT